ACGATCCACTTTTCCCGTCATCATCTCCTTCCTTAAGGGTTTCCGTGGAGATCAATCCTTGTTTCTCCCAACGTTCCAAGGGATTTGCAATACCTGTAAGAGATTTTAATAGGGTAATAACTAGGACACTTGCACATACAGTAACTCACCGAAATCGGTGAGTTTCACCATCCAGTTTCTATCAATGAGACAAGACCATGGTGTAAGAGAACCATGATAACCTATGGGAGAGGAATGCAGATATTCCAGACCCTAAAATCACATTTTTGGCAGCATTTATGTCATTTTTTGCCTTTGATAACATACCAAGGTGATGTCTCTAATAAAAGCTCCATGGAATTTAGCATCCATCACCATATCGTGGTTATAAATGACATCCTAGACATTTATTTGATTATTTCATGTTTCTTTGCTTAATCAAGTTGGGCTATTGTTGTTACCGTACCTGTACAGTACCACGAGAGCAGAATTTCCACAATAAAACCATTTCATCTTTCTCATTGAACGACATTCCAAGGAAAGGATTCAGATTATCATGAATGGCTTGCTTCATCTGTAAGGCATCTTATACCGTAATCTTTATTAATGCTCTAATTCTAGGGTACGGTACCTGAGTGAGCAGTTGCATATCGGCTCTGTTGAAAGTAATAGGACGTCGTTGCGGATATACATGGAACGAAGCATGCGTATTTGTTCCAAGTACAGCATGGTGCTTAGCGAGCGACGATGTGTTGGAGAGCTTAGTTCTTGTCGATCCCATCGATAGCTATAAGGTGTGTACGTAATTACAGTAATCCAATATTCAGATTCCTCACTTCAAACACAAATTTTTAAGTCAGTTTCAGTTTCAAAAAAGTAGTGTGGGGTTAGAGTGGAGCGGAGACTTATTAATCATAAATGCTCGACTGGACTTAATTTGGGACGAGAATTAAACCATTATTGATCAGAACAAAAATCAGAGGCCTGCGATCAATACTAAATGATTGATCAGCTCAGATAATGTAGCTTGGTCCATTCGATTTTTATCGATAAAAACAAAATTAACATTATCAGTTTGCTTTTCTTTTCAACTCAGCGGGGAAAAGGTGGGACTAATTTATCCATCTTTACTTG